ATTATATCAAATTAAAAATTGTCTGGATATTAAAGGGAACAATTAACAATAAGAAAAGTTAACCTAAGCAATGGGAGAAAATACATGCAAACTGTGGTTCAGATACAGGATTTCATGTCCAAAATATGTGAGACTCCTATACCTTAGTAGGAAACAAAACAAATATTTTGATTTTAAACAATGGCCTGAGGACCTTAAGAAAGATTCATTCAAAGGCATACCAATGCTCAAAAGGTATTTGTAAAAGTGCTCAACATAAGTAATAATTAGGGGAAACAAAAACCAAGACCACAGTGACATTTCATTTCACATCTGTTAAGATGATTATTAAGAACAAAAGCAAAAATAAAAAATAAGTGTTGTTGAGGATGTGGATAATAGGGAACACTTGTGCCCTTTTTGTGGGAATATAAGTTGGTGCCATCCCTATGCAAACTGTCTGGAGATTTCTTAAGAACTTAAAAATAGAATTACCATTTGGTCCAGCAATACCACTTCTGGGTATATCACCAAAGAAACTGAAATCAGGATCTCAGTGAGATATCTGCATTCCCATTTTTTTACTGAAGTATTATTCACAATGGCAAACATAAAGAAATGACCTAAATGTCTTTTAAGGGATGAATGGATAATTAGAATGTGGTATAAACCTACAAGGAATACTATTCAGATTTAAAGAAGAAACAGATCCTACCTTTTGAGGGAACATGGATGGAATGGAGGGCATTTTGATGAATGTAAGAAGCCAGACTGAGAAGAACAAATATTGCATGACATGACTTTTATGAAGAATCTAAAATAGTCATAGAACCAGAGACTAGAAGAGTGATTACAAGGGGCTGCTCAGAACAGAAATAAGGTGTCATTCAAATGATACAAAGTTTTACTTATTCAGTATGAAGTTTTTGGTAATTGCTTTGCAACATAGGGTTCACAGTTAACAATACTGCATTATATACTTAAATTTTTACTGAGGGTTATACTTGAATATAACCACACACAAATAAATGGTAACTATATGAGATGATGGAAATGTTAGTATGTTTTTGTAATAATTTCACAACGCATGTGTATATAAGAACATTACATTCTATCCTCAGTTTATTCCATATTTATTTATCAATCTTACCTTCATAAGGCTGGAGAAAAAAGATAATTATAGTAAAAAGCAATGTGCAATCACTATTGGATCTTAGAGTAACAGATTTAAATAAAGAGATACAGATTTGTGTACAGATATATGTATAGTATATGTATACACAGATGATGATTTAATTATCATTGTTGGATGTTGACAACATTTAAATAAATACTCAGGAAAAAAAGACAGGGTAGGAAGGCAAGGTAGAAACCTCCTCCCACACACACACCAAGGAAGCAACTATAGCAAATACAACCCTGAAGATGACCTGAAGTAAAGACTATCTATACCTGGAGAAGAAGAGAAGACCACACAGAGGGGGTAAAATGGCAGAGCCATGACTGATCAGGACCCAAGCCCTTCCCCCTTCCCAGCCCACAACCAGGAGGGAGAGAAACTGAACAGGGAGGAGATAAGCACTCAGAAAGTCCGCACACTAGGCCCTGGATATCTGCTCTGGAAACATGAGTCCACACTGAGTTAGGTTTTGGTGATTAGTGGGCTTGGATACAAGGGAGAGTTGGGGCACACCAGGAGGCTGGGACTCCTGCCATTTGCGGAGGACAGACATTCTGTCAGCCCTGCTGAGAACCAATATAGATGAGGCAGTGGAAAGATTTACAACATTAAGATTGGTGTCAAAAGGTCAACGGTTGGATGGATCTCTCTCTGAGAAGAAAGGGCAGGTGAACAATGCTGCTATAGCCTTGCCCCCTCCACTCAGCCCAACTGGGTGTACAATGTTGCCTTAGCCCACTCATACTCAGCCCAACTGGTTGGGTGGTCATTAGAGTCAGTCCCAAGCACTCCTTCCTCCTTGCTGGTGGCTCCTTGCTGACACCCCTCCTTGCACACTTGTCCTGTCTGCTCAGCCCAGCAGCAGACTACTGTCGGGCAGGCAGAATCATGCTTTCCCAGCTACCTCAGCCACCTCTCAACCCAACTGGGGAGGCACCTGTGGAAGCCAGTTACAAGTGCTCCTTCCTCCTCCTGGGCAGCCCAGCCCTACGCAGCATGCCTTCATGCCCCGCTTCTGTGAGCCCATCCCATCCACCCATTAGCCCAGCAGTGTAGCCATTGCCATCACAATATGGTAGGTAGGGGGCAGCCCCACCCACAATAGGGCCAGCAGAAGCACAAGGGGCCACAAAGGGCCAGCTGAGGCTAACTGCTACACAGGGAAGATTGAGATAGTCCTCTGCAAGCAGACAGAAAGGTGACCTAACCCTTATCCCATTAAGAAGCAAATGAGGATCCACCTCAAAGGAGAAACAGGCAGTGGTGAGTGAGGTGTATTGAGTTTCTGGGCAACAGAGGATACCTTCTTCATAAAGCCATTACTTTGTAGACCAAAAAGCATAGTCAAACTATCTAATAAAGAGGAAGAAATCCTGACAAAATGAGGAGACAGAGGAATACATACCAGGTAAATATAGAGGATAAGTCACCAGGAAGAGTGGTAAATGAAACAGAGATCCCAAATCTTGATAAATATTTCAAAGTAAAAGTCACAAATATGCTCACTGATTTGCAAAAAAATATTGACAATCTCCTGGAGGGCCCAATAAAGAAAAAGAAGAGTTGACAAGAGCCACTCAGAGCTGAAGAATGCAGTGACTGGAATGAAAAATAACAGTAAATGGAATGAATAATGGATTGCATCAAGTAGAGGAGACAATCAATGAGATGAAAATTAGAGAACAGGAAAACAGTGAAGCTGAAGAACAGAGAGAAAAATGAATGTCTAGAAATGAGAGGATGCTAAGAGAGCTGCATGAAATCCAAAAAAACAATATTTGCATAATAGAAGAGAAAGAGGTAGAAAGTCTCTGGGAATATAAATATAAAAATAATTGCTGAAAATTTCCCCATTTGGGGGAAGGAAATAGTCATCCGTGTCTTGGAAGTGAAGAGATCCCCACAAAGACAACACAGATATATAATCATTAAGATTAAGGAGAGGGTATTGAAATAAGCCACAGAGAAAAAAAAAAATTGCTTAAGGAAAACCCCATCAGGCCATCAGCAGATTTCTCAGCAGAAATTTTACAGATAAGAAGGGAGGGGCATGAAATATTTAGTATATTGAAATAGAAGGGCTTTCACCCAAAAATCCACTGCCCAAGAAGATTATCATTCAGAATTGAAGGGGAGATGAAAAGTTTCCCAAATAAATGAATGCTAAAGGAATTCATTACCACTAAACCAGCCTTACAGGATACATTTAAGGAACTTCTGCAGACGGAAATGATCTTAAACCTTAATAGTTTTCACCAATGAAAATGAACCCACAGTAAATGTAGTAGAGCAGTTATTTACCAAGCAAGTATGAAATTAAAACAAAACAAAAGTAGCAAAACCAAACATATGCAAAATCAGTCAGGGGATATGCAGATTATGACATCTAATACATAAAGTGTGGAGGAGGAAGAAAAGTAAAATAGTACTTTTAGACTGTGTTTGAAATAAAGTGATCATTAATATAGATTGTTATATATTTAGGAAACTACCCATGAATTTTATGGCACCCACAAACTTAAAGCATATAACAGATACACAAAAAATTAAAAAAGAGAAATTCAAACACAACACTAAAGAAAACCATCAAAAAACAAAGGAAGAGTATAAGAGAGGAAGAAAGGAACAGAGAACTACAAAAATAACTAGAAAAAATGAATAAAATGGCAATAATTACATGTCTAACAATTATCTTTAATGTAAATGGACTGAATGCATCCATCAAAAGACATAGGGTGACAAATGGATGAAGAAACAAGACCCATTTATATGGTGTTTACAAGAGACTCATTTCAGACCTTAAGACATATACAGACTGAAAGTGAAGGGATAGAAAAACATATTTCATGCAAATAACGGAGAAAAAAGTAGGAGTAGCAGTACCTTTATCAGACAAAATAGTCTTCGTAATAAAGAAAACACAAAGATAGATATTACATAATAATAAGGGGATACACCCAAGAAGATATAACAAATATAAACTTCTATGCATCCAACATAGGAGCACCTAAATATCTAAAACAAATACTAACAAAACTAAAGTAGGCATAGACTGCAACTTATTCACATTAGGGGACTTCAACAAGCCACTTACATGAGCAAATCAACCAGACACAAAATAAATAACAAAACAGGAATGGGATAATACATTAGATCAGATGAACTTAACATATCTACAGTACAGCCCAGCCAAAAACAACAGGATACACATAATCCTCTTGGTAATCACTAATCTATTCCTTTCTTTGGAAGAGTGAATTTGTAAGGAGAAGTAAAGTGTCACATAAATATGACAGGAAGTCATTTTACTCTACATCTACATGTACTACCATAAATACAGGTAAGAGAAGTAGAAACTAGAGGCTTATTAAAAAGATAATTACTACCTGGCAATAACCGAGATGCTCTATTTTTTATTTGTTGATGCTGTACCTCAGATTAACTTGTGCAAAAATTTATTTTGGCAAGTCTTAATTAAGTACTTAGCCAATTAACCAGTTCAGCACTCAGTTAATTAAATGAGGTAGTTAACTTGTCAATTAACAATTGAATAATAACTATGTGAGGAGATGGTGGTAAGTGCTCTGAGCAGTATATGTGGTAGCTAGAAGCCTGGTGTACTGAGAACATGCCCTGCATATAGCTGTGGAGAACACATAGCCATTTTGCTTTCCTCACCAGGAAACTGAGTTTTTTGCCTGCCTTTAGTTTTGTGTACTTTTTTAATTAAAAAATTAATTCATCGTGATATTGAAAGAAATCTTGAGACACTATACTAAGAAAAAACTTGAGAAACATGCACAATTTTAATTATGAAACATTCCACATCAATATTAAATGCATGACTTTGAAGATCTTTAACACCAAAGTACCCAAACATTGGAAAACAGTTACCTTCTAACACTATGAGTAAACATGCGGCATACTGACAAAATATACAAAATAATAGAATGTCATTTGTATTATTATTTATACATGTTATCAAATTAATATGGATCAAATAATACACATTACCAAATTCAACAACCTATACACTAAGATTTGATCATTTTACTGTATGTATCTCAGTAAATTTAAAAAAATATAGCGTATACATAAAGAAACAAAAAATTGTGTAGTAACACCAGAGACGGATGGAATGCTAAGGCAAATGTCTTGTTGTGAAGTGAAAGCTTACTTTCATAACTGCCCCTGCAAATCTCATTTTTTGGCTGTCATTTCAACAGTTTCTCACGGAAACACTCTAGCTTTTCAGCAGCTCTCATTTCCTAATCGTTCATTGTCTTCCAGGCATGACAGGAGCCATGGAAAAAGCAAACGGCACTCCAGGGGTGAACTTCATTCCTCTAGGGCTCTTCAACCACACTCCGGCCCACCAGCTCCTCTTCTCCCTGGTGCTCACGATCTTCCTCAGCTCCCTGCTGGGCAACGGCCTCATGATCCTGCTCACCTTCCGGGACCCCGGGCTGCACACCCCCATGTACTTCCTGCTGAGCCAGCTCTCCCTCATGGACCTGATGCTGGCGGCCACCACTGTGCCCAAGATGGCAACCAGCTACCTGCTGGGCACCAAATC